GGACTCAGGCCCTTTTTTGCGTACAGAGATATGTCAGTGTGGTTTCTTAAACATTAAGGTTAAAACACAGATTCTGAGTCAGCAGGTCGGGGGTGGGGCTCCATTCGGGTTCTGCATTTCTGGGAGCTCTGGGGAAGTGTGCATGCCTGGGCATAGACCCCACTGTGAGCAGCGAGGACCTCGCCTGACACGGGCTGGCCCTGTCCCAATTGGCAGGGGCAGGGCCAGGGGCAGGGGAAGACTCATCAGTGTGCAGGGGGCCCTTCTGGGCCCTGAATTTTCCTTTTCTGATGGGAAGTCCGTTCTCGGAGTTCACAGTTGAGCCTGAATTCTCGCTGCTGCGTGAGTGCGTGTGTGTGTGTGTGTGTGTGTGTGTGTGTGTGTGTGTGCGCGCGCGCGCGCGCAGTGGGCTTGTTGATGGACAGCTGACCTGAGCCAGAGTATCTGTTACTTTTCTTGGATTATTCTTGAGCCCGTAGAAGGCGCAGGGCTCAGTGATCCATCCACACGAAGGACTTGCATCTTCACTCAAGACTGCGCAGCCAAATGAGGCCTGGCTGTGTGCTGGCCATGGGTAGGGGCCCCGTGTTTCACGGGCGGCCACAGCAGGGCCCCTGGTCAGTGCTGCTGTGGGAGCTCCCTCCCCAGGATACAGAAACAGCTGATGTGGACACGTGCCCGTGGCCATACAGGCTGAGGGGGCCTGGGCCCCGGGATACCTGTGCTCTGATTTCTGGTGGAAGCCCGTGTGGATGGATGTCACCCTCCTAGCAGCCTTGTGATGCCCTACTGAGTCCGCTCTGATGCGCAGCTAAGGAAACTGAGGCTTGGAGGGCCAGGCTTGTCCCCATGCACTGCACCCTCCTCGTTTGTTGGATTCCGCTGGAGATGTGGGTGCAGCCATGCCTGGGGCACCTGATGAAGGTAAACACTGTTTGCAGGTGGAGATGCTTCTTATTGTGCCATTGGGCTCTGCAGCCCTGGGCCCCAGCGCTCCCTACTGTGAGCCAGCCTCCTCTCCAACCAGCAGATCTGCTCATGCCCCTTACGGGTCCCCTGCCGGTGGGTGACTCTGCTGGTTCCTCCAGCTGCAGGGCTGTTTCTGGAAGCCCCTTGCAGGGGCTCTGAGGGACAGACCCGCTGCCTTGTTTCTAAGTGCATTGTATAGGCTCCTTGAGGAGACTGAGGAGTGAAGGGTGTGTTGCTGGGGGTGATGGGGACAATGACTCACCATCTGGGTCTGGAATTGGCCCCACGAGCTGCAGAAGCTCTCTGCATGAGTTAGGGTTTCTTTTCCTTCTTGGGGAGAGAGTCCTGGGCTGCCGCTCAGTGGAGGAGCAGGCTGGCGAGGCCCGTGGCTCCCGCCTGTGGAAGCTATTCCTGGGCCCCGGATGGGGCTCTTGGGGGACCAGGCCTGCCCCTGCTGAGCACACTTCTGTCCTCTGAATCTGTTTCTCCGTTTCCAAAGGCAGGCATTAGATGAAGCCATCCCAGGGTCCCCTGGGCTCGGTGTTCAATCTGATGCCTCCTATAGCCTCCCACCTGGGCCCATCCTGCTGCTTCCCTGACCAGGAGATGAGATCCAGCAGGCTTGGGTAGAATGGGGTGTCCGCAGACTCTCTCTCTCCAGCTCTATGAGGGGCTGGAGGGGTATTCAGACTGGAGAACATCAGGGCTGGCTATGCTATTCCTAGGGTCCAATGCATAGTGAAAACATAGGGCCCTTTGTTCAAACATTTTTAAGAATTTCAAGATGGGGACAGCAGAGCATTAAACCAAACGGGGGCCCTGGGGGGCTGCTTGGGTCGCACATCAGCCTGCTGGTCCTGGCTGCCTGGGACACTCTGGTTGGGGATACCTCATGTATGCTGTCCCTGGGAAGGGGGTGGGCTCCCCCCACCAGGATTCATGAGATCCCTCCCCTGAGGGCTGGAAGGCATCACTGTGGACAAGCGGAGGCCTCAAGAATGGGGCGAGTTCTGGACCCTCGGGTGGTGTTTGCTGGTGTCAGAAGGAGATGGATGGGCTCTGGAGGGAGCCCCCGACAGCAGGGGTTAGTGGGGTCAGCTGGGGTTGGCTGTGGCCTCGGCCTGACAGATTCTGTCTCTGCCCTGGATCAGCTTCTAGAAAGGGATATTCATTCATTCATTCATTCATTCATTCAATGAAAACTGGTGAACTCTTGCTCTGTGCTAGGCTCTGCGAATTCAGGTGGAATGAAATAGATCATGTCCTCCCTGCCCCCGATGGAACCCACAGCCCAGCAGCCTCAAGGACAAGCAGGCCTGGGAAGTCCACAGAGCCCGGCTTCTCTTCCTGGGGTCACAGGTTGGCTGGACCCAGGGGACGGGACATCTGTCTGGAGCAGCACCCCTGCCATGATCCCATGACACCTCCTGGGCCTGGGGGACTGGCAGTGTGGGGAGGAGACACAGGGGTGACCTGGGACCCGAGGGGCCCGCCCTCTCCCTGCAGGGGCTTTTCTCCAATCCTGGTCTCCTCCTTGGGTGTTCCTGGCTGTCTGGAAGGAGTCACGGAGGCCAGTGGTGGGCTCTGGCCACCTCAGGGATGGGAGGAGACCATTGGCCACAGCTGGGAGCTAGAAGCCCCAACTCCTGTTCCAGACTTTTCTCCCACCAGATCAAAGCACCCAGAGCTTCGGGGATAGGCCAGCCACTGGAAAATAGTTCCAGGATATTTCATTTCCAAAGCTGTTCATGGAGGAACCCCCGCCTTCCCATCCCCCAAGGGCAGGCCATACTTTTTAGTTTTTTGTAACGACTTTCAAACAGTAACGAAAACATGGGGTCCTTGTTCAAACCCTTGTGAGAATTTTAGGATGGTATCGGTGCACAGATGGCAGAGACCCAGCCTCACCCCGAGTGTGGAGGACACACCGTCTGGGCTCCCAGGCTGGCCCAGGTGCTCACCGGCTGTGCACACAGGGCTTACCCTCCCTCTGCTCGTCTCCTTCATCGGTCGGTGGGGATGATGAGAGGCCCTTGGGTCCCGAGTAGAAACAGGCCTTAGTCATGTTAGCAGGAGGCATGCCCAGTGCTGGGACCCGAGGCAAGACACAGTCCCCTCCGCCAAAAGGCTCATGATTATGTGGTGGGAACTGGCCCTGGGAGGGTGCCAGAAGGGAGAGCACAGTGTCTGGGAAGTGTGGGGGACATTGAACCAGGGGAGGGGTCCAGGAGTCTTCCGGGAGGTGCTGTCACTTAGACTGAGGTCTGAGAGTCTTGTAGGAATTACCCAAGGAATTCGGAGTGGCGGTGGGAAGAGGGTCCAGAAGGCCCCGTAGGGTTGGTACTGGGAATATGAAGGGGCTGGGCCTAAGTGACGAGCCCCTCCCAGAAGGGGGTGGGAGGGGCACTAGCCCTGCCTGGAGAGGTACCCCAGGGGAGGACTATTCCCAGCAGCAGAAACCCCCAGACAAGGAGCTCAGCCTGCAGAAGGGCTGAAGTGCCATATTAGGGGGTGAGCTCCCCACACCTCCAAGTGTGTGGGCAAGGCTGAAATGGCTGGGGCTTGATAAGGATGTTGGCTTGAGGATTTCACCCTGGAGGGGCTGCATTAAACAGACTTTGAGGTCCCTTCCAGCTGTCACACTCCAGCTCCTCGAAATCCCCTCTGGGAACAGCGAGACTATGAAATATAAATCAATAGGTTAAAAATACGCTTGTCTCCTGCACGTCCAGGTCCTGTCACTCTGCCTGTCTCCCTCGGTCTTCAGAGGATTCCTGCTCGGCTCGGGCAGCCTGAGAGCCCGGCAGGAGAAAATCGCTTTGTTCCTGAGCAAGGCAGGGCTGATGGCGTCTCTGTGGATGGGGCCTCGAGTTGGTTTTTGATCATTGCTGCCTCTAGGATGCACACTATCCCGTCGCGGCCGGCGTCCCCTCCTCATGCCTTCCCTGCTTTCATCACTGGGGAGAGGACGATCAGGCAGGCCATGTCGGGGGGCAGCTGAGCCCCCAAACCCGAGAGCTGAGGAGGTGCCGCCGGCAGGAAAACAAACTCAGGGATGGCCGGTGTGGTGACCCCGGATTAGCTGGGGTAATGGCTCTGCTGGGGGGGGGGGGGGGGGGTGTTCCCCGGTTACCTCCTGGGGTTCCCATGGCAACGGGAGTGTTAGGAGCAGCTAATAGGGACTGACAGCGAGTGAAATGAAATTTGATGTATGGGAAAATGCATCGGCCAGTGAAATAATTGGGGAGAAGGCGCTTTTTCCCGCCGGGCAAGGCCAGTCCTCACTTCCTTTCTGTTGTTCTGTGAGAACTTTCTGGTGCTCTTAGACACAGGTGTTTTTATCAGCACGAACAGTCGCCTTTTCTCAGGGGTGTGAGATGGCACAGGCTCTGTCACACGGGGCCCAGTGTGTGTGTGATGAATTGTTCGGCATCCCTCGCATGAGTGTGTGTGTCCTCCGCTGTGTGCAGCCCACTGCCGTCCCACTCGGCTGTTCTCGGGCCTTCCACAGCCCGTCGCTGGCTCTGCCATCAGTCAGTGCTCGCCCGGGGGTGGGGTGCAGTGGGGTGGAGTGGGGGGTAACCACAACCCGCCATGCTGGGGCCTCCTCCTGTCCTGGGTGCAGCCCCGGTGGGCGTTCTTGGCTGATCTCCAAGTCCCCATCTTCGGAACCCTTGTCAGATGCGTTCTGTGCCCAGCCTGGGCCACCACCTCAGTGTCCCTTTGGCCCCAGTTTGAGAAGGTCCAAGGCTGGGTTTGAGTGTTTCCTGGCAGCTACCGGGTGGACCTTGCAGGACTGGGATGTTCCCCCAAGGTCACTGTGAAGAGTGGGGTGAGGTTTCAGAACCTAGACTCAAGGTGCTCTGCTGCAGGGCGGCTGGAGCCCCCCAGAGAGCCCGCCAGGAGGGTCCAGGCAACTGATGTTCAACACAACACCCCAAATCCTGGGTGGCGGTGGCGGGGTGTCGTCTTATCCCTCTTCGTTCAGAACCGTGAAACCCACTGATTTCTTCTCTCTGTTGCCACCACAGGTGATCTTGATCCTGACGAAGTATTACCATGCAGACATGGGGAAGGTTCTGGAAAGTTCTCTGTGGCGGTAAGTCACCCCTCCTTATGCACCTGCGTGTCTCCCTAGGCTGAGGGCCGAGACCCCCCCCATGCCCAGCAGGAGCAGCCCTGTGAGTTGATGGTCTCCCAACTTTCCTTTTGGCTGCACAATGCGCGTAGAGAACATGGAAGGCGATTGAGGGTGTCCCCCGTGGGCCCACACAGCCCTGGAAAAGAGACAGCCCTATAGAAAGTATCTTCGCTGGCTTTTCTTTCTGTGTGTCCTCCCCCCGCTTCCTTTTCTCCTCGCCAGGGGAAGACGGTTTGCATCGTGAATTCAGGTCAGTGCGCAAATGCCCTCTGCCTGTGCCCTACACTTGAGATGTGGCTCTCAGAGTCCACCAAATATGCGATTCCCCTCATTGTTCAGACGTGTTTCTTTCTCTCTGGCTTAGCTCAAGAGCTTGGTGTATAAATTGGGGGGGGGTTCTCTTTCTACGTGAGATGTGAATTCAGCCCAAGAATGTCAAGCAGCCATTCTGATGTTTTAAACGAGGTGGGAGAGAAGGAGGTTTTGAGAAATCATGTCGGTTACTCTTGTCTTCGATGTTTACACCCGCTCACCCAGACAGCGGGGAGGGAGGCTCCCAGCGTCTCACGCCGTCCTTGAAAAGCTTTTCTCGGGCAAGGATCCTGTTTCCTGCAAGTGCCGACCGTCGCTCCCATGTTCCCTGGGTGTTGAGCTGTTTTGGTTTTCAAGATGTGTTTCTCAAGGAACAGTTAATTCATTTTGCTATTTGAAATCCATGAACAACACCCAGACCTGCTCATCAGGAGTCCCGTGTGTGTGTGTGTGTGTGTGTGTGTGTGTGTGTGTGTGTGTGTGTTTGGGGTGGGGGTGGGGCTCGAGCTGATTTATTTTTTGGTTTTTGGCTTTGCTTCTAGGGCAGGAGCATGATGGTTGATTCCGTTGGCTCTTGTTGGGGGATTCCTACGAGCCTTTGGGAAGGTGTTGAAATGGCACCTCGAGCTGGGTCCTTTCCCTATTGTATGAGGATGGTGTCGCCTGGGGGCCAGCTGGTGTGGTCAATGGCGGTCCTGATGGCGCCGGGTCTGGGGAATAAGCCGCACGTGCCGCCCTGGGTTTTTCTTACCCCTCTCGTGGCAGCCCTTTGAGGGTTTGTGCTCTGGGACTGGTTTCAGGGTTAGGCCCCCTGGGGAAGGGCTGGTCCATGGAGGCCGTTCCCCTCGCTGGGAGGATGTTCCAAGGATGAGTGCCTGGGTTATGCAGAGAACAGAGGCACCCGAGTCTTCTCTTCCCCTAAGCAGAATTCTGTAGTCCCCTCGTCAGCCCTGCCTGCCGCATGTCAGCCGAGTTCTAAAGTGGGGGACTTCTCCTTCCTTAGCACCCCCCAACCGTCCAAAGCCCGGGGGTCCTCCGCTCTCGGTAGCATCTCCATGGGCCGCACACAGAGGAGACGGAGGTGTCGTAGATGTTATTTTGACAGTGAACAGCCCTCCTCGGTGTATTCTGTGCCCATGGGACAGAGTTGCCCATCCTCGTGGGGGACACAGTGGGGATAGTGCCTTTGGGCCAGCCCTGGGGTATGGGGACTGGGCCTTCTTGCTTATGGACTCCAGATTCAGATTCTTCAGATGCGGGTAGAAAAGCCAAGAGAGAGGACAACCACCCACCTCGGGGCCGCTGGGACGGGGCCTCTGGGACGGGGGGTCCCTCTGCTCCACCCGAGCCTCAGGTCCTGACCTGTCCCTGCCTGGAAGACTGTGCATGCCCAGCAAGCTGACCCAACCTGAAACGTCCCTAGAAAGGTACACGGTCTCGATGGAGGTTTTCTCCAGAGCAAATCAACAGACTTTAATTCTCTGTGTTCTCATCATTGTACACAGACATTTCCTCTCCTTTATTAAAAATACATGCAAAGGAATTAGTCATGTCAGAAGCAGCCCCCTTCCCTGTTCAGCGCCATTCCTTCCTCTGTTTATCTTTCTCACGCGGTCGTGTTTATGGAGTCAGACCTGGAATAATGTCTTGCGTTCTTCACGCATCTGTTTCCAGCTCATCCCTGTTGGCCTGTGGCCACAGCAGGGCACTCTGGGGCCTCGAACTCATGCTGGAATGGGTTCCTTCTGACGCTAGCCACGGCACCGCCATAAAGCATGTAGATGTGTGGTTTTCCTCCTCCTCCTCTTGGTCCTGATGTTTTAAATGAGGTGGGAGAGAAGGAGGTTTTGAGAAATCATGTTGGTTACCCTTGTCTTTGATGTTTATACCTGCTCACTTCCTTTAGGAGGCTTCACTTCCTGAAGTGGTATCCCGGGGCGATTAGCAGCAGGAGGACCACTCTTGCTCAGACCAGCCTGCCCAGCACTTGCCTGATGTCCAGTCTGTGAGAAGGTCCTAGGGCCGCTGGAACAAAGGATGGAAGTGACAGGAATTCATTCTCCCCCCACCCTGGAGGCCAGAGCCCGAGATGGAGGTGTGGGCAGGGCCGGGCTACCCCTGAGGCTCCAGAGCAGGGTCCTTCCCCCTCTTCCAGCTCCTGGGGCTGAGCGGACTCCAGGTCCCGTCCCCATGGCCTCTCCTCTGTGTGTCTGTCCTCTATGTGCCTCACGACGACACTTACCATTGGATTTAGGACCGGCCCAGGTGATAGGGGTGATCTCATCTCACAAGCTCTAACTTAATCACATCCATAACTGCCCCTTTTCCAAAGGAGGCTGTGCACCATCTCTGGAGGTCGGCCATGGACATGTGGGTTTGGCTCCGCCGTTCAGCTCCCGGCATGGTCATGTCCCCTCTGGCCACACCACCCAGATCTGACTTCCTGAATGGCTCTTGCCCCGGCCCCTGGTTCTCCATTCTTAGCCATGCTCCCTTTGCACCGCTCCATCCGTGGTGGGGCCCTGTAGCCCTTCCCAGCTCCTCCCCTCTCCCCCTGCTGCCCTTCCCAGCCTCTGCCCTTGCAGGGCTCTGGGGACGTGAGAAGCACACATGCCCACAGTCTGGTCCTATTCACTCGTCCCCAGTGGCTTCCCAAGGCTGGCACTGGGGCAGCCCAGCATTCCTTGTCCCAGCACAAGGGATTCAAGGGCTGGAAGCTACAATGGCAGGTGTAGAACGTTGGCGCTCGTGGTCCCGCGGAAAGATGACATGGCTTGTATCCATTCCGGGGTAGAGCCATGACGGTTTCAAGGGAAAGATAAATAGCATTTGGAACGCGGAACTAAGAAAGGCATGGTGTGTAAGGTCTCCTGTGCTCCCATTCCCTGCCTGCAGGAGAATGTCGCTCGGTCCTTCTCCTGGTTTGGGGCTGTTCCTCCAGATGCTGGGAGACATGGGGCAGCCAATGTGACCTGAGGGGCTTCCCAGGACACTGGGCAGGCAGTTTGAAGACTGAGACCATTCCTGGGCAAACAGAAGAAGGGTTAGCCCTGAAACAGTGGCGGCCAAGTCCACAGCCGAGCCCGCCTGGGGCCCGCAGCCTGGAGCAGACGTTCGCAACCCCCTGCTCTCCCTGGCAACTATTTGGGGTCACCTGGCCGGTGGGGGCTAGTGGGTGATGGGCGGGGACAGTCTGGGTGAAGCCATGGAAGCTGAGAGCTGAGCCTGGGCTAGCCCTGTACCGGGTCCCTCCCTGTCATAGATGTTAATTTTTTTTTTCCTGCCTGGGATTTCTATCTCTTCGAAAAACACACTTTTACAGATTCTGATCAAGCCCAGCTCTCTCCTCTCTCCTCCCATCCCCCACACCCCGCCATCGCCCACCCAGAAGAAACCACCGTCTTGAAACTGGCGGGGACCGTCCCCAAGGGTGCATTCGTGGTGAACGACACGCGTGTGCATCAGTCCACCATCGATGGGTTCTACTGTTCAGCGTGTTTAAAGAATTGATATAAATGACATCATGGTGCCTTTCGAAATCTGATTTATATTCCCAACTCAGTTTTGGTAATTTCTCCGTGCAGCACGCGTTAGCTGGCTGATGTCTGCGTCCCCCTGCTGGGGGAGTGTGAGGATTCCCCCCGCCCCCGATTTTGTTATTCCCATCAGGGCTGCCATGAGCATCCCCACATGCATCTCTAGCTTCCTTCTCCGCTCCCTGCTGCCCGTCTATCTGCCGAGGGATGCCCGCTCCACGTCTCCACAACCATCAGGCTTCGTGCGTCTGCACTAGGGTGGGTGTGAGGGTGTATTTCATCTTTGTGATTTCGCATTTTTGTTTATTTCTCATCTTTGTGACTCTTCATGAACCTGGACATACTTTCTCTGTATATAGTGACTTGTCAAGTTTCCTCCCCTCGGATTCACCTGCTTGGGTCACCCATCTTTTTCCTCTGGGAGGCTTAACGTTTTCTTAAACCCTGCCTCTCTGCTGCGAAGAGCCCAGATGCTCTCCAGGACCCTTGATTCTAAGGCTCCCAGCAGACGCTGTTCATTCTCTCCCAATGGCTTCTTTTTAAAAAGATTTTATTTATTTTTGGGGGGAGGGAGAGAGAGAGAACAGGTAAGGGGGAGGGGCAGAAGGAGAGGGAGACTCCACTGAGCGCAGAGCCCGTCTTGGGGCTCGATACCAGGACCCCAGGATCATGACCTGAGCAGAAGGCAGACGCTTCATCGACGGAGCCCCCTAGGTGCACCTCTTTCCAGATAGCTTATCAGAATGATGCCTCTTATGAGTATTTGTCTTTGCCACGTTATTTTGTGCACGATTCTTAGAAGAGTCATTCTATGGGTGATAAGGGCGCCTAACAAGTCACCCTGAGCTCAGTGGTGTGAACCACATACTTACCCTCACGCCCCTGGGTGGACTGGCTTGGCTTCCTTGCACAGGGCGTGGACAGGCAGCTCTACTTCAGGCTGCAAGCTGGTGGGCATGGCCTGCTCCCCCTGTGTTTGTTCTGGGACCAGGCTGACAGGATAGAGGTCATGAGGACATGTTCTTCCCCTGCGCCACACGGCCTCTCAAGAACCAAGCCAACCCCACAAGCACGTTCATGGCTTCTGCTCACCTCCCATCTGCTAGAATT